TGGATTTTCATTTTTACTGTACTTATTGGCCCCCAGCAGCACCCTAATTTAGCATGTGTAGGTGAGTGCAGCCAAACCCTTATTTTCTCACATATGTATTAATTGTGAACTAATCCACAGAGTCTTACTATACACAGTGTTTATTTATTAGTGGAATGATATGAATCCATCCAGGATTACAGGGGTTTGTCCCACTGTAATGGGATAATTGCTTTATTGTACTGCATGTTCCTTCTCTTTAAACATTTATTATGAAGTCTGGCATTTGCAATGTGTGTACACAGGGCATTAAGTCTGTAACATAGGGCTGTTTCTTGTTTCTTGGATAAAAAATTGCTTAGTCATCAAAAAATAGACGATATGTAGTGTGACCAATTGCAGAAGAATCCTTGAATTTTGTAACTATACTCAATGATATACTGATATTGTAAAATTGGCTTCGGAAGCAAAAAAAGAAGATTCCAGAGCAAATAAAATGTATCAAAGTTTAGAACGGAGAAAATTACCTTGCTTTTCAAACAATACTTTACAGCGTTTGTCCTTGTCACCAAGTTGGAATTTCAACTCGGCACGTGACGGAGAATAAAACTCAAAGAGTTTAACATCCAGATTACTCCATCCTAAAGATAGATTCAAAATATCTTAGTATTTTATCAGGATACACGGAATCTCAGCCACACGGAATCTCAGCCACGCAGAAACTCAGCCATCCTATCACAATACACAGAATCTCAGCCATTATATCAGGATACACGGAATCTCAGCCATCCTATCACAATACACGGAATCTCAGCAATTATATCAGGATACACGGAATCTCAGCAATTATATCAGGATACACGGAATCTCAGCCATCCTATCACAATACACGGAATCTCAGCCATCTTATCACAATACACAGAATCTCAGCCATTATATCAGAATACACGGAATTTCAGAAACCCTATTACAATACATGGAATCTCAGCCACCCTATCACAATACATGGAATCTCAGCCATTATATCAGGATACAAGGAATCTCAGCCATTATATCAGGATACACGGAATCTCAGCCATGCTATCACAATACGCGGTATCTCAGCCAACCTATCACAATATATGGAATCTCAGCCATCCTATCACAATACATGGAATCTCAGCCACCCTATCACAATACGCGGTATCTCAGCCAACCTATCACAATATATGGAATCTCAGCCATCCTATCACAATACACGGAATCTCAGCTATCCTATCACAATACACGGAATCTCAGCCACCCTATCACAATACACGGAATCTCAGCCATCCTATCACAATACGCGGAATCTCAGCCATCCTATCACAATACATGGAATCTCAGCCATCCTATCACAATACACGGAATCTCAGCCACCCTATCACAATACACGGAATCTCAGCTATCCTATCACAATACACGGAATCTCAGCCATCCTATCACAATACATGGAATCTCAGCCATCCTATCACAATACACGAAATCTCAGCCACCCTATCACAATACATGGAATCTCAGCTATCCTATCACAATACATGGAATCTCAGACATTCTATCACAATACATGGAATCTCAGCCATCCTATCACAATACATGGAATCTCAGCCATCCTATCACAATACACGAAATCTCAGCCACCCTATCACAATACACGGAATCTCAGCCATCCTATCACAATACGCGGAATCTCAGCTATCCTATCACAATACATGGAATCTCAGACATTCTATCACAATACATGGAATCTCAGCCATCCTATCACAATACACGAAATCTCAGCCACCCTATCACAATACACGGAATCTCAGCCATCCTATCACAATACGCGGAATCTCAGCTATCCTATCACAATACACGAAATCTCAGCCACCCTATCACAATACGCGGAATCTCAGCTATCCTATCACAATACATGGAATCTCAGAAATTCTATCACAATACATGGAATCTCAGCCATCCTATCACAATACATGGAATCTCAGCCATCCTATCACAATACGCGGAATCTCAGCTATCCTATCACAATACATGGAATCTCAGACATTCTATCACAATACATGGAATCTCAGCCATCCTATCACAATACACGAAATCTCAGCCACCCTATCACAATACACGGAATCTCAGCCATCCTATCACAATACGCGGAATCTCAGCTATCCTATCACAATACATGGAATCTCAGACATTCTATCACAATACATGGAATCTCAGACATCCTATCACAATACATGGAATTTCAGACATTCTATCACAATACATGGAATCTCAGCCACCCTATCACAATACACGGAATCTCAGCCATCCTATCACAATACATGGAATCTCAGCCATCCTATCACAATACACGGAATCTCAGCCACCCTATCACAATACACGGTATCTCAGCCACCCTATCACAATACACGGAATCTCAGCCATCCTATCACAATACATGGAATCTCAGCCATCCTATCACAATATATGGAATCTCAGCCATCCTATCACAATACACGGAATCTCAGCTATCCTATCACAATACACGGAATCTCAGCCACCCTATCACAATACACGGAATCTCAGCCATCCTATCACAATACGCGGAATCTCAGCCATCCTATCACAATACATGGAATCTCAGCCATCCTATCACAATACACGGAATCTCAGCCACCCTATCACAATACGCGGTATCTCAGCCATCCTATCACAATACACGGAATCTCAGCCACCCTATCACAATACGCGGTATCTCAGCCATCCTATCACAATACACGGAATCTCAGCCATCCTATCACAATACATGGAATTTCAGCCATCCTATCACAATACATGGAATCTCAGCCATCCTATCACAATACACGAAATCTCAGCCACCCTATCACAATACATGGAATCTCAGCTATCCTATCACAATACATGGAATCTCAGACATTCTATCACAATACATGGAATCTCAGCCATCCTATCACAATACATGGAATCTCAGCCATCCTATCACAATACACGAAATCTCAGCCACCCTATCACAATACACGGAATCTCAGCCATCCTATCACAATGCGGAATCTCAGCTATCCTATCACAATACACGAAATCTCAGCCACCCTATCACAATACGCGGAATCTCAGCTATCCTATCACAATACATGGAATCTCAGAAATTCTATCACAATACATGGAATCTCAGCCATCCTATCACAATACATGGAATCTCAGCCATCCTATCACAATACGCGGAATCTCAGCTATCCTATCACAATACATGGAATCTCAGACATTCTATCACAATACATGGAATCTCAGCCATCCTATCACAATACACGAAATCTCAGCCACCCTATCACAATACACGGAATCTCAGCCATCCTATCACAATACGCGGAATCTCAGCTATCCTATCACAATACACGGAATCTCAGACATCCTATCACAATACATGGAATTTCAGCCATCCTATCACAATACACGAAATCTCAGCCACCCTATCACAATACACGGAATCTCAGCCATCCTATCACAATACATGGAATCTCAGCCATCCTATCACAATACACGGAATCTCAGCCACCCTATCACAATACACGGAATCTCAGCCACCCTATCACAATACGCGGTATCTCAGCCATCCTATCACAATACATGGAATCTCAGACAATCTATCACAATACATGGAATTTCAGCTATCCTATCACAATA